ACATAAGAAATTTTTTTCATATATTATATACAAATAGGACAAGTGTGGATGATGTAATTGTTAGCAGCTTGGAACAAGAAAAAATGAAGCTGAGTTTGAATTCCAGTTGAGTTTCTTTCATTCTCTTTCATACAAATACCCTTGGGAAAGGTATAATTCAATTTCTTCTTCCTCCCCACTACTATGGGTTAAAAAGAAGTGCAGACTGGGCTCTTCAGCCTTGGTGGCTTATGGCCATATCACATTGAAACACCACTTCTTGTATGATCATCGTAGTTAAGCCTGGTCAGTACCTAGATGTTTGACTACTTGGGAATACCAGGTGCTGTAAGCTTGGATATGTGGGTGATATAATGGATAATGGCTTGTAATTGGAAATTGGAGAGCTGAGTTCCAATTCTAGTCATTATATTCACTTACACGCAAATACCCTTGATGAATCCACCTCATCTCCCCCATCTATGGGTTAACTAGTAGAACTTATATCAGTAAATCATTATTATCTCCCAAAAAATTCCTACAATCTAAAAATATTTACTGGCTTTAAATAACTCAAAAAGCCATAAAAACAAATCAAATAATCAAGTCTAGGAGAAGGAAAACTCTGAATTTCCAAACCTGGGTAGATGGAATTCATTAGCATGGGAACACATGGTCATCTAAAGGAAGGGAAACCCTGAAAGAAAAGTAATCCTTCCTTTGGGAGGTTGGACATAGATAAGACTAATTACCCTTCCCTGCAAAACAATTTGTTTAGAGAAACCAGACTTGGGGTCTTATGTGCCATGAGCACCAGTCAACTAGCACATATAGAAATAAGAAACAATAATGATCATCATGATGAATATAGAAGCTGTGCTAAATCATTGTAAATTGAGAATCTAACACTAAGTTTATAAAAAATTTTATAAACTTATCAAGAAAATGGAACTGAAATGGAATCCAGAATCTGAAAAATATTAGGAAGAGAAAACGCATGGAGAAAGCAGAAATGGAAATGAAATGAAAAGAGATTTTCATTCAATATGGTTTGAAGATGACATGACAGAGATGCAAATAATTGTATATTCTTCAGAACTGAAAATGTAATAAAAGATTTGCTCTAATTTTGTTTTGCAGCAGTTAAAAGAAATGCACTCATGTGTTTCAGATTCTTTCAAACTATTTTGATCCACTCAAATTTTACTATTTTTACTCCCATATAAATTTTACTATATTTGCTCTCATATAAATTGAAAAACACAAAGCGGTATTATTTTCTCAGTCGATAATCAAACAATCTTATCTTATGTGGACTATTGTCCTCACCTTTGTTGTCATTATTACAACATTTCAACCATTCTGCCTACTAGCCTTCATCATTGATCTGGGTAATTTTATTTTCAGCTCAGTTATTGCTTGCCCTGTTTCCACCGAGTGCAAGTACATACTGCCCAACCCAGGGATTGAAATCACAATTACTATGTCACCAAATACACAAGCCAATGCTATTGTGGCATGAGGAAAATAGTCTGCATGTAAATAGTGTAAATAATAATAATTCAGATAGAAACAATTTTATCTCATTATATATCTTGTTTCAAACTCTCTACAGAATGGTTGTTGTCATGTTTTCATCCTGGAAAATAATGCTTTTTTTTAACTGATCAGGTTGCTGTCAATAAATATCCTTTCATCTTTCAATAGCTCATAATGGATGACACCTTTTATATTCCACCAGACACAAAGCAAGAACTGTGGATGGAATCCTGGTTTTAGTGTTGGCAATGGTTTTATATTTTTTTTTGTAAGGGAGGAATGTGCACATAGTAAAATGGTTAGTGACACAAAAAGAGAAATCAGCAAATTAAGTTCAAATTCTGTCAGAGTTTGTTACTTTCACCTTGCCAAAGGTATGGATCCATTTCTTTTCTCCTTAACTATGGATTAAATAGCAGGTTTGATAGGGTCCTTTTGCCTCGAGGTGGTAACCAGACTAAAAGAATGAAAACACTGAATCAAAACCTGCCTGAAGAAGGGTGGGTTCCATCAGGTTATCTTGCCCTAGACACACCACTACTTCTACAGCTGCAGTACTTGTGGTGCACAAATGATCAGAATGTATTATGGAACTTGTGATGTGATTGTTTTTTGTCTTGTTTTCTGTTGACATGCAAAGCCCATTTTACATCATCTGTAACAATGCAATGACAAAATAAAAGTTTGGTATTCCTGGTTAAAAGATTTCTGCACATTGTCAAATGTTGTGTTTGGTTCTTATGAAGAACCCAAATTCCTTCTTTGTAAGTTTTCCCAATTAACTTGAGATGTTTGTAGAAAGTTCAGTATGAGTTTATTTTCCAAATTACTTTTTTCCTAAGAAAATTTTTAATTAACTATCAGCTAATAACCAGAACTGCTATAAACAAAAAGCAAGTAAACATGTTTTGGATACTCTGAAAATAGACTGAACAAAATCCAAGATGAGGAAAAGAGAAGAAAAATTTCATGAAAAAAATTCCAACTATAAAAAAATAAATTTCACATGAACAGAAATAATAAAATTCAATACATTAAATCTATTTTCTCATTTTTTACAGTTACAAAAAGAAAAAGTTGCTTGTTTTATAAGCATGAGGCAAAAATAGAATAAATTCCTGATAGTAGTAATTTATTTTCTTTCAGAAAAATTTGGCTTCATATCTTTTCTATTTTTTTTTTCAGTCATGGTTGGTATTTTCAAAGCATCTTTTATAGTTTTCAATATACAAAATAACTCTAACCAAGTTTGATATCTTAAAATAATGGCCATCTTTTTTTTTTTTAACCTGAAATAGCTGCCATCTTTTTCTTAATTTTTCACTCATCATTTTTAACAATAATGACTCTTTTAGCCAGTATCTTTATTTTCTTGGTTCGTACGTTTTTTTTTTTAACTTTTGGTATTTTAAGTTTGAAGAAGATACATTTGCTAAAGGTAAATGTAAAAGCCAAGCATTTCAAAAAGCTGTTTTACATTATCAGAAAAGAACTCTGCTTCAAGAAAGTAGTGTCAGAAATGTAAGACTACTGTAGTTCTTTTTCGTAATGCATTCTTTTCTTATGAATACATCAAATGTGTCACTTTTGATGCTGAGAAGTAGATACATCATTACATAATGGCAAACAGCAAAGCAAGAAACTTGGAAGTTATATAAACCAGAAAATGTAGCAATATATTTTCTGTTTGAATTTCTGGTATCATTAATTAATTTACTTATAATCAGATTTTGTCCTCATTTTTGTTGTTGTTATCAAAATATTTCAGTCATTGTGCTCTTCAGCCTTCTTCAAGTGTCTATTGATTCAAGTGCCCTTTAGGGATTTTTGAACTGAGTCAATTATTTAATCTGTCTATATCAAGGGATATCTCCCCATTAATTTAATCCTCTGTGCTAGAGGATTAGATTATCGGTCCCACAAGAAACTAGCTCAAAAGATTAAAATGTTGCTTTGTGAATTTTGTAATGTGGCAATTGCAAGTTCAATCTCTGAGCTGGGTAGTACAAACTCAGACTCAATTGAAACAAAGTGAGCAATAACAGCAGTACTAAAAAGAAGAAAACTAAATATCCTTAGGTATGGACAGCAGAACAAGAACAATCTACTCCCAAGAGATTAAATAAAGTGTTTAGTTAAAAACTCCCTGAAGGTCACCCAGATGCAAAGAACAAAAATTAGGACAGTAGTCTGATGGTAAATAATGTAAATGACAGTAATTTTTATTTGCAATTAAGTATCTAATCTAATATTCAGCTGAAGGAATGACCAAATCAGTGAATTATCCTGAGGTCTGAGAGTGTTCTTTAAACAAATAATTGATTTTCATTTTTAATTGATGTGTGCTTTTTTGTTATAACTGATTTTACGGTAATGAAAAATCTAAATATTTGATTCAGCTTCTTTCAAATCAAAGATGATTTGGCTGATCAATATTAAATATGAAGATAAAGGGATTTAATTCCTTTCATTTTAGTTCTTATTCTGTCAGATGTAACCACAATATGAATTCTCAATACAATAAGCAGAGAGTGAAGGCCAAGAAAATATAGTTTAATGCAAGGTTTCCCAACCTTTTTTGTGTCATCACTTACTTTCACATGGTTAATTTTTCACTGCCCACCTGTATAGTAAATGAATAAATGATGGGTAAATTAAGTTTTGACAGGCACTTTTCCCACCTTCATAAATTTGAGATAGCCAATGTGATGTGTCTTGGTGTTCCCTTATCTGATTTATATCTGAACAAAAAAAGTTATTTCATCTGAAGAACTTCCCACCTCCCATTATAGACCTATTAGTTTCCTCAGTATCATCAGTAAACTTTTTGAAACTTTAATCAACAAAAAGGTCGTCGAGCACCTAGACAGTAACAACCTCTTATGCAATGAGCAGTGTTGGGATTAGATATATTCAGTGGCTTTAAATAACCTGCAAAGAGTTGATAAGCCATAGAAAATGAATGAATCAATCTTCTTCATCACTGAGGAGATTGCTGAGTATTCATTACCATATAGGAGATTAGATATTATACAACAGTTCATCACGTTCTTCTTTTTCCTATGTAGTGAAAAAAAATTTCCTTTACGTAAAAGGCATATTTTTTGTATTGAGAGTAATCATGACTGAAGGAAATTAAGACAATTTGTCTGAATTCATGAAATCTGCCTTTTCTAAAAGAGGATTCATTAACTTTGGCACTTCCAGTTAGTTCTATTCTGACCTTAACTTGCTGGAAGGTTTTGTGAGCTTTAACTAACTGAAATATGTCTGTGACTCATGGTAAATATCTAGCATATTCTGGGAGATATTTTGGCTACAGTTAGTAAACAGTTTCAGAAATAAATCAATATTGACACGAGTAATTCAAGAAAGATTTTTTTCTTCTTTTATCATTTCAACTTTCCTTCTTTTTTTTTAAATTCTTGTTTTTTTTTTTTGTTTATTTTTGTTGCTGTTCACATTTCTAGTGTGCTTGGTTTACAGCCATATCTCATTGAAACACCAGTTCTCGTCCAATCCCTTAAATTAAGCTACACTGAGCCTGGTTAGTAGCTAGATGGATTACTGCTTGGGAATACCAGGTGCATGATCTTAAACAAAAAGTTAGGAAAGAAACTCTCATCAATTCTAGAAAGAGTGATAACAGTTAGTGGACATAAGAAGTCTATTTTTCTGGAAAACTGTTTTGAAAAAAAATTTTATTCATTTAAAACAGCAGTAATACTGTTTGGTTAATGAATGTCACATGTTTCCTGAATGGAAACGGTTAATCTATTACCATGATGCAGCTTTACGTCAGATAATTTAAGCTCAGTAAATATCTTCATTATAATGCCTTCTTGGTGCCTCACCATATGGTAATGGTTAACAAGCTGCCTTTACTGAAATCATTAATACTGGGCCATGAGTCACTGTATGCTCCATATTTGCAGTTTTGTGCTATTATTATGCTAAGCATAGTAAATTTTTGTTTAACTTTCTTTTTCATTTCTTCCCCCTTTTTTTTATTCATAATTTATGTATTTTTAATATCATGTTATTTTTGACATCTCACAATTATTTTTTTCTCCAGTTTTATTTATTTTTTAAAATTCTATTTGTTATGTGTTTTATTTTTTTCCTATATTTCTTTTGGGATTTTGAAACAATAAAAAAATGAAAAATAGAAAAAGTAAAGAAATCCCTGTGTAACTTAGGGAGTGGGAATCCATCCTTCAGACAGCTCTACCAATTGAATTCAAAAGGAAAGGTCAGGGATAACTAAGATGTCTAAGAGTTGATTTAAAGTGCCCAGGTATTTTTTGAAAAAGTCTAAAGAATGTGAGTAAGTAGGGAAGCAGAAATGCATTCTCTTTCTCTCTCCTCCTCCTCTTCATTAATTGCTGTATTTTTATATTCTCATTTTGTATACTACTTTTTCTTCAAGCTTTTTATTCTCATTTAGCATAATTCTTTTTCTTCAAGATTTTTATTCTCATTTAGCATAATTCTTTTTCTTCAAGCTTTTTATTCTCATTTAGGGTGTGTGTTTGGGGTGCATTGATCTTTTTCTTCATTTTCATTTTGCATACATCTTATTCTCCATGCTGTTTTTCTTTTCATTTTTAAAGAATTTTCTATTCCCTTCTCCTTTATTTCTCTTTTCTTCTCTTTGATTCTCATTTCAATGCTTTTCATTATGATTACTATCTCATTCTCTTTTTCCTTTTTGATCTCTCTAATTCCTAATGGTAATATAATTTCTTCTTTTTTATTTCCCCCCATTTTCAACATTTCTCAGTTCTCATTTCCCTTTCTACTTTAGTCTTTCCTCCTTTCCTTTATGTTTCCTTACATTATTTTCTTCTTTTCTCTCCTCCCCATATCCATTCTTTCATTTTCTTTTCTTTCCTTTTTTTTTCTCGTTGCCTTTCTCTTTCTCTATTTCTTCATTGTTCTATCAATTCTTTTTCCTTTACTCTCTGCTTGGTTGTCTTGTCAGCTATCCCTTTCCACAATTCCCTGTTTGCTAACTTGAAAAAGCGTTAAACAAAAACAGATTTTTTTTTTGCATATATATTCCATCCTAACTTAGCATTGGTGGAGAATGCAACTGACATGTTTATTTCTCAAGTGAAAACAAAGTATTTCAGTTCCTTCTTCATAATTACATTTCAGGTGACCTGGAAACAGTATCTGCTGCTTTTTCCATTTCTTATTTTAGAAATATTATCTCTGAGTTGCAATGACCTTCTGCAATTATCTATATGTATATTATATAACACTTCAATGAATTTGTAGTTTTAAATATATACACCAACTACCTACTATATATATATATATATATATATACACACACACACACACACACATATATATATATAAACACATGTATATATATACAGCTATGTAGATATATATATACAGCTATGGGTAACATAGCAGGACAGACTGGGTTCTATAGCCTTGGATGGCAACTGGTCTAGGAGAAGGACAACTCTGAATTCAAAACCTGCGGAGGGTCGTTTGGGAACCTTGTGGCATTCGGTGCACCAGGTCTCTGTATTCGTCCCTTCAAAAAGTGTAGATGGTCCTACACGAGGCCTTCACCACTATAATCAAATCTCATGTGCCGGTGTCGGGCTGTTGGTTTCCTGGAAACTGATCTGCTTGACCCTCATACATCGAATCTCAACAGGAGAGTCGATTACATATATAAATACATATATATACATATATATATATAAATACATATATATAATATATACATATATATATAAATACATATATATATATAAATATAATATATATAGACATATATATATATACATACATATATGTATATACATATACATACATATATACATATGCATATACATATACATACATTTAGTATATTGGAGGAGTAGATCATTATTCAAACATATATTGTTAAATATAACAGACAGTGAATGTCTATTATGTTTGCTCATGAGCTGTTCTAAACTCCATATAGTTACTTTAATTTTGGGAGAAAATAAAGACAAAAATCATCCAACATTTGTGTTATTTTTTATTATGCTGTTCCTTGATCTAAGCTTTCGGCTCACATTAGCCAACTTCAGAGTGGTTATATGGACATTTAAACAAAGTTAATCACTTTAAAAGATGATATTCTGTTATGTTGACATAGAAGATTGATAGGCAATGGTAATGGTCACAGAATAGCAGACACAGGTTGTAAATTCATAATGCAGTTCAATGACGTCATACCACATGTATATATATATATATATATATATATATATATATATAATTATATAACTGATGTCAAACATTACCACATCTCTGCAGGAGAATGTAAAACCCTAGCAGAACTAAAAAGTCACATCCGTGCTGCCCATATTTGAAGATGGATCAAGCGATGATATTGGTTGAAATCAAGACACAGCCATCATGTATAAGATTGAGTATATGAAAATCATTTGGATGTTGAAAAATTCATTTTATTTACTTGTTAGAGTTTTGCTCCTTTTATGTGACCATTATCCAAACATAACTAAAAAGAAATCTGAGAAAAAATTCATAACCATGGAACATTGCTACATAAAAAGTTGTATTTCTGAGATGAGGTATTGTAACTATTTTCCCTATTTACCTTATTTGAACTGTTGTACTCATCTTTGTTGTCACATTCATGGCCTTCTTCAGGTGATTGGAATCTCGAATTGAACCCTTTATTTTGTCTACTGGAGTAGATAGTTCTAGTTCCATATGCCATGCCTCTTCTGGATATCTCAGTTATAGTTATTTTTCTTTAGTAATTCCACTCTCCAATTTTTTATTCACCTCTGCTGTGGCCAGGTATTGAACCCACAACACTTTCAGTCAAGTCACTGGATTACTTCAACCATTGCTTTTATCCACTAAGCCATGTCTCATAGAGGACACCTGAAGAAGGCTGGAGCATACAACAAACAAAATGTTGTGAATATGACAACAAGATGAGGAGAACAGTTGAAACAATGTAAATAGTTGCATAAAGACCTATTTGACATAGGAAACCAATCAATGACTGACTATCTTTCCATCTATCTACCTTCTAGATACCTCTCACTTGTGGCTTTGTATTGTCCACAAAACCAGGTGCACACACACACACACTTACATGAAAAAATGTAGCCTGCCACTGTTATTAGCTAAATTTTGAATTAAAGTTTTCACTGTTTGATATATTCAAGATCAAATTAGGTGCATTGACAAAGAAGGAAATTATGTTGAAAAACTATTTGTTATTTTAAATAAATGCTTCATACTTATTGATGTTCCTATGTAAGTTTGCTGTAATTTTCAATTGACAATATGAATACAGCAGCATTTTCTAAATTCTTCTAGTTGCTAAGGACATTTGGTTTGTTGTTAATAGTTACTTTGTTTTCAATAAATTCATTTTGTTTTTGCCTTGAAAAAGTCCACATTGGATGAAACGTGTCAGCTAATAATACAGTTTTACTACTGTCTTTTACCTTTATATATATATATATATATATATATATATATATATATGTATAATTAGGTAGCATATCTTTATTTAAATATATTTCATTGAACAATATAGACATTTTGTGTCTATTTTTAAGCTGATCCTTTCCAGTTGTCTAATCAGCTTCTTGATGTCGAGATGAAATTCATCAAGGATGATGCTGTAGTTATTATTAAACCAAGTACTTTTGATCTTTTCCAAGACCATCTTCAAGGGTCAATTACAAAGACAATCTTATTATAACTGTGATGAAATCTTCACTCTCTTCTGATGGTGATTTTTTAAAGACATATGCAAATGCACTCTGTTATAGTTATTTTAAATTTACCCGTTGTAGAAATTGAATTTTTTGCAAAACAAGCATCCCAATATAAGAGAGCTAACCAGAAACTGGTAGCATGTAAAATGGGATTAAGTGTCTGTTAAATGTACTTCAATATGTTGCTGCTACACTTGTAATAAATTTTGTTCAGTGTTGGTTGGTTGCTTGCTTTTGCTAGAGAGGGCTTTGAGAATTTGAAGATTTTGTTTATTATTTTTTGTTTATTATTTTTAGTATATTGGTGTTGTCAACAAGTATTTTCCTGTATTGTGAAGGTGGACAAGACAACAAAATGAAGATTTTATCACAGTTTGTCTTTGTAATTCACCCCAGAGGCTGATTTTAGAAAAGGTTGAAATTACTTGGGTTAACAAAAATTATGGCGCCTTCGTTGATGAATTTCATCATAATATCAAGAAACTGATTAGAAAACTGGAAAGGATCAGTATAAAAATAAATAGACATAATATGTTTATATTATTCAGTGAAACCTGTTTGAATATATATCTAGAGTAGGGAAGGAAGATAACAATCAGCTAAGTGACAAACTTTTTATATATATATATATATATATATATATATATATATATATATATAATTTAGAAATTTATATAAATATAATATGTATATAATTTTATATATTTATAATATGATATTTTTATATATTAATAATAATTTTTATATTTTATAATTTTAAATATATATATATATATATATATATATATATATATATATATAAAATTTAGAAAGTTTATATATATA